TTACATTTACATTTACATTTTTAGTCATTTAGCAGACGCTCTTATCCAGAGCGACTTACAGTTAGTGAATACATATTTTTTTTATACTGGCCCCCCGTGGGAATCGAACCCACAACCCTGGCGTTGCAAACGCCATGCTCTATCAACTGAGCTACATCCCTGCCGGCCATTCCCTAATTACACAGTATGATGACAAGAAGATTATTAACTATTAAGGTAATTACACAGTATGATGAAGAGAGGATTATTAACTATTAAGGTAATTACACAGTATGATGAAGAGAGGATTATTAACTATTAAGGTAATTACACAGTATGATGAAGAGAGGATTATTAACTATTAAGGTAATTACACAGGATGATGAAGAGAGGATTATTAACTATTAAGGTAATTACACAGTATGATGAAGAGAGGATTATTAACTATTAAGGTAATTACACAGTATGATGAAGAGAGGATTATTAACTATTAAGGTAATTACACAGTATGATGAAGAGAGGATTATTAACTATTAACGTAATTACACAGGATGATGAAGAGAGGATTATTAACCACTAAGGTAATTACACAGTACATTATTATTTTCTTCAAACATTGTACAAACAATTGCCAAAAATGACCTGCTACTACCATGTTACTTCTAGGTAAATACACCGTAATTTCTGTATTGTAGAATACAATCTTATATAAAAGTGCTTTCCTATGCCATCCACTCATTTTATGGATCGAAAGGGATTCCATCCTCGATATATGATTGATTCATTCCTATATGGCTGACAGGTGCAACTGACAGAGATGTAAAAGCTGAAAGCTTTCTTCTCCTCTCAGTCTAATGGGGTTTTAAGTATTGGCCTTTATGGATGCTAATGTTCGCTAATGATGACAGGTCCACGAGGAGGATTGGCCGGTGTGTGTGTGTGTGTGTGTGTCTGTGTGTGTGTGTGTGTGTGTGTGTCTGTGTGTGTGTGTGTGTGTGTGTGTGTGTGTGTGTGTGTGTGTTTTTCTGTGTGTGTGTGTCTGTGTGTGTGTTTGTGCGAGTGTGCGTGTGTGCTATCAGGTCCTCTTGGTTTACTATCAAGCTAAATGTTGTTGAGGAGTCTCAATTATGAAATCATACATTTTTAATCTGTTTTCTCCGTTACACACACAAACACACTTTTGTAATCTGACAGCCTAAAAGAAACACTCCCACACTCCCTCACACACAGAGATATATCGTGCCAACCGGTATGTCTTTATTATAGGCTAGTGTATGATTAATTTGATTAGCCTACATGTAGCCTCTAGTTTGTATTGACATTTCAGGTGTCATAAAGCTATTCTATTCGGAGAGATCATACTTAGTTGAATGGCTGCTTTTTTGAGGCTCCTTTGGGGACTTAGGGACTAGTGAGAGGATGACCTGGTTTCTAATTTTCTACTCTCAGCCTGGTCTGTAGCTACCCGTTTTAACAGAGCTCAACCAGACAGATGAGAATCAACTGTGCAGTGGATTAGATCTTTCTTTCCAAAGGAATATCGTCCTTTTATTAATCTGCAGACAATATGCTACCTGAGGTCGTTTTGCGATTCTCAAAGCCAATGCTGTTATTCTAACGGAGGTGCTGAAATCCAACGATTCTTTGCCCAGAGATAACAGGTAGGCTACCTAAGTCTCCTACTTTGTGTGACTGTTGATAAAATATTGTTTCTAAATAGGCTAGCCTACTTTATAGGCTTTTCAACCTTTTCAACAAGCACAAGTGAAGATGATTTCATGTTCTCATGGCATGGATTATTTGACACTGACTGGATTGACTCCACGACTGTGATAGATTCTGCTCTCCCGATAGTTAAACTTTTAGTGCTTCTGAGATGGCTTAAAAACGACTACATTATCAGATTAATATATGTCATATGTTCTCTTGTATTTGTTTAAGATGTATTTTAAAACACTGCTATTTGAGTTTGGCTTTTCATTTAGCCTACATTTTTTCATCTGGTTCAATCAAGTTAATTTGCATGTCCTCTCACCGGTGTACAGTATATGATAGGCTATGCAGCACTTCCTCGTCAAATCATCTGGTCAGTTATTTTAAGGCTCAAAATAAGGTCGCTTGCTGTAAAGTGTGACTCTCAGTGAAATAGAACATTTGACATCACTGTAGTAAAACACCAGGGTCCACATGTTTTTGGTTTGAATTAAATAAAATTGCAAGACCATGCTTCATTATTTAGCTATAGATTATGTGATTTCATTTTATTTTGATATATGATAAATAATATTCTACTAATATGTTCTTACTTTAGGTTTTACTCTGGCTCAGTGGTATTCAAGTGGTAATAAATTAGTGGTAATAAATTAGTGGTATTTATCCTAGGAGTTATTTCCAACCACTTTGATTGTTCTCATGTCTCCTGTTGATTTTATTGTTGATATGAAGGTGATATTGGCTCATGGCCAGCCTGCAACAGGAGTACCCCCTGGTCCTGCTGGGTATTCTGGAGGAGCTGGCCGCTATGCGCCACTGGCTCTCCTTCCAGGACCTGTGTCGAATGGTCAGCACCCGCTTCGACCTGCAGCACCTCACAGAGCTTAGGAGCCTGCTGTTCTCCGCAGCCTGCCGCGACCCCTGTTTCCCCGCCACCCTCTTCAGAGACAGGGTCACCCCCAAGGGACTGGGGACATCCCCGATAGGTGTGGCAGCTGACATCGTCACCATATTCAACCTCATTCAAATGACGGGTGGGGCTCCCGATGAGGCCCAGCCTGCCCAGCCAATGAAAGCCAAGCCCGCCCCCCACATCGACCAATCCCCAGAGCCCTCTTTGCAAAGCTCTTTGCCCATCACTGACGAGGCGAGAATCTCCAGACGTGAAAGGGTGCGCACCCTTTCAGACTCTCAGACCCTCTCAGGCCCCATCGACCCGAGCTTGCTCTGGCCCAAATCAAATTACTCGTTCCGCAAGCGTGCCAGTCTCCCTCCCGATCCCCTCTCTCTGGTCTCCTCATCCCCTCCGAGCCGTGCCAGGGCTGTGTCTTTCGACTGGCGACACAACACCCCGCTGTTCGCTGGCAGCGGCAGCATCCCAGGCATGCAGAGCATCTACCTCCCCCTGGAGACAGACAGCGAGTCCTCCAAGGATTCCCTGAGTGGAGACTCGGCACCCAGGGATCCCGGATCGGAGCCGGGATCGGAGCCGGGATCACAGCCAGGATCGGAGCGGCATTCCTGCGTGAAGAAGAGAGACATCTTCAAGAAGGACTTCCACAACCAGTCACAACTGGTTCCCCATGTGACCATCAGTACTGAGTCTCAGACTCCAAGAGGAGGAGTAGGACAAAGAGGGAGGCAGGAACTTTTTTCCAACCGCAGCTTTGAGCTGCTATCCAACCCGTATCCTTCTCCAACTGTCGGTAGGTCTTCTCCGGAGCGCCGGGCCAAACATGAAAGCCTGGACGACCTCCAGGACTCCACGTACTTTGGCCCAGGGGATACTATTCAAGAATGGTCCCCTCTCCACCTCCAACCTCCCAGGGCCCAGAGGCCAGGGTGGGCCGACAAGAGCCTGAGTCTGGACGACAGGGTGGTGGGCTTAGTGGGTGTGGGCTTGGATGGCTCTGAGGGCTCTCTTCAGGTGAGACTCACTCCCAGCCCCACCACAAACAACCTTGGTGGGGGGTTGTCCCCTCCAAAGGGATGGGAGGGGACCTCCATTCCCGCACTTGGAGGAAGGGGGTTGATGGCCTGTAACAGGGGCACCCAGACCGACACCATGTCAGACCCGCGGCGCCTGCGCAGCCTGGTGCACGCCGACCGCCTGTCTTTCATGACCTCGATGGATGACCCCGACATGATGGGCGAGGATGACATCAGCGCCATCTTCCGCTTCCTGGATGACATGAGCATGTGTGGCTCCACAGGGGTCCTCCACCCCCATGACGTGGGCCCCTCGGCAGCCCAGGACACCCCGGAGGCGCGGCGCGGCCGCCTGGGCCAGCTCCAGAGGCTCTTTCACTCCCTGGATGGCAGCGACGACGGTGGGCTCAAGGCCAGCGTGTGTAAACTCCTCCTGAGAATGGGCCAGATCGAGCGGCGCCTGGAGTCACTGTCCGAGGTCAAGGCTGAGATCTCCCAGGTGCTCTCCTTCCTCCAGCGACTGGATGAGAAGATACAAGAACAGGCCATGGGAGGGGGAGGAGGGGGTGGAGGTAGGTGGCTGGGACCGCCCAGTGGTGTTGGGTCTTCCCTAGGTAGCCTGAGCCATTCGCTCACTCCTGGGTCTGGTGGCTCCTCGGAACCCCAGCCCCTGTCTGTATCTGGGCATTCGTTTGGCAGCCTGGACTGGAACCGGTGGGGCAGCAGCCAAAGGAAGACGGAGACAAACGGAGGTCTGAGCGAGACCGAAGGGGGGAAGAAGGTGGTGCTCTCTCGGCTGGCCTCCTCCAAGCCTGAGGAGAAGAGTGGCGTAGACTCCAAACGGCCGAGCGTCGTCTCCAACTCGTCTGCGCGGGATTGGACGGTGTCATTCTCGAAAAGTAAAGACGTCAAGGCCCAGCCTGGAAAAAAACGACAGGTGATGTATGACCTTAGTCAGTGCAACAGTGTATGTGAGTGTGTGTGTGTGAGTGTGTGTGTGTGTGTGTGTGTGTGTGTGTGTGTGTGTGTGTGTGTGTGTGTGTGTGTGTAAGTATGCACACATTAATTCGTTTTGAATACTCAAATCTAAAGCAGAGTCAGACATGTAATTAGCTGGCCTGTTGGTCAGACTGTGGTTTAGGTGGTCAGTTGTTTACATAGTTGATTAGTATAACCCATGGCTCTTTTAATGTCAGTGCAGGACTGCCTTTCATTGTACACTCGTCAAAAAAAGGGTTCAGCTGTCCCCATAGGAGAAACCTTTTTGGTTCCAAGTAGAACCCTTTTGGGTTACATGTAGAATCCTCTGTGGAAAGTGTTCTACATGGAGCCAAAAAGGTTTTTAACTGGAACCAATAAGGGTTCTTCAAATGGTTATCCTATGGGGACAGCTGAAGAACCCTTTTAGGTTCTAAATAGCACCTTTTTTTTCTGAGAGTGCAATCAGTAATCTTCCACTTAGGACAAGAAGGCAAGAGAAAGTCTGCTTGTGTGTATCCAGTTTGTTCACACGTTTATTCCAATATGACAACTTCTGTTTCTGCCTTTACGTTTGCTCTATTTTTCTCTCTTCCTCCTTCGCTCTTTCACATCTTTGACTCAATCCCTCCATGCAGATGGACCAATCAAACAACTCCGCCCAGAGTCATAAGCTCCCCCCTCAAAAACACTCCCAACTGGTGGAACCGGTGTTCAGTTCCTCTCTCTTGCGTCAGAAGGGTGGTGGGTTGACCAATCCCGGGTTGTCCTCTGGGCTGCCCTGTGACCCCAGATTGGATGGGGGGAGAGGAGGAGCCCCGGTCTGGACCGTGGAGGAGAGAGAGGCCAGAATGTCCCCTCTGGACCTACAGGTACATTAGGATCTTATTGGCCTTTTGGTAACACTTTCCTTTAATACAACCACAGGCCACATTTAATCATTTAATCAGCTTGCAGGCCGTATCTGGCCCGCCGGCCCCCAGTTTGAGACCCCTGCTTTCCAAGAGGAAATGTTTTGTTGTTATTATGAGCACTTACAATGTCTTATTATAAGCTTAAATGTATGAATATGCTGTCAATATTCAACAGACTGAAAACAGATGTTATTCAGTCATCTGAAAACAGATGTTATTCAGTCAGGGTCTTGTGATGCACTATAACTGCATCATAATGCATTAGGTAAAGTTTCACAGAGCTTTCTCCTAAAATGATATAAACCAGGATTAGTCATTGAATCTTCAGAAAATATATCTGAACTGGGATCCAAATGGAACTCCCAGTGAATAAGACTTTTAATGAAACAACTGGAACGGTTATCTATCTGACTCTCTAACATCTGGCATGATAGAGCGGTGGTGACCTAATGTTTTGTCTCGTAGGCCCAGGAGCCTCTAAACCCCAATAACCTGGAGTTTTGGATGGAGGACATCTACACGCCAGGTTACAACACACTGCTTAGGCGCAAAGAGGCCGACCAGCGCAGAGCCAAAGCCTGCAAGCTGGGGGCGCTCATCTTCACAGCCATTACCATAATCCTTGTCATCGTCATCCCCATCGCCACCATGAGCTCCTGAGGCTCTGATTGGATGTCAGACAGGAAACCTCCAAACATAGACTGACTTGATTGGTTGATTAGTGATGACGAGATACAGGGATTCTGAAGTCTGAATGCAGTGTTTATCTGATACATAACTTTTCTTTTTCATATAATGATGTAGGGGACTAATATGCCCTACATATACCATGCTTTTGCACCACTATTCTCAGGGGAGAGTAATAACAAAAGACGAAGCTAAACTAATGCAAACACTTTGTGAATCCCCATGTTATCACAGTCAGTTATGCCCTTGAGTGCTATTTTGGCCTTATCCTGTTGCCCTTACTGGGCTCATTTCTTTCAAGCACAACTGAAAAAATTCAAAATTGTAAAAAGCACAGCATTTGTGTGGGTCTACTGTCTGACTTTGAATGCCTTTGTTTCTCACTAAGCAGTATGGTACAGTAAGTTATGTTGAATAAAACAACTTTTGTTGTCATAGTGGTTTTTCAAGAGTGGGAAATCTGTGATTTCCGCAATTTTTCGCTGGCTAAGCCAATGTGTTTGTTTCATGAAACATGCCACCCCTGCAAGACCAGAAAATGGCACCCTGCAAAACTAGAATGGTCCCAGCAAGCAAAATTGCGTTGAAAAGACGTCTACGATACGTACTTTCCAGACATTGAAGTTAGGTTCATTTAGGTCTGAATGAAAGGTGAAATAACATATTTTCCGTACGTTTAAAATACATATTTTCCAGGACGTTGAAAAGGCATCTTTTCCGGACGTTGAAAATACATATTTTCCACACGTTGAAATCAGGTTCATTTTGATTCTAATAAAAGTTGAAAATACTTATTTTCCGGATGTTGATAGGTTCAGATTTCGGATCGGACCAAAAATCTATATCTGTGGGCGTTGAAATCAAGGCTGGTCTGGACCGCACCAAATCTGAACCAAACATAGACGTCTATGATTGGTTCATATTTGGACTGGACCGGACCAAAAACCAATGACTGTGAATGTGGAAATCAAGTCAGGTCTGGACTGCACCAAAAAAAGACGTCCAAATGGCATTGGCATCGGTCCGTGCTTACTGGAGGTGTAGCCTACAGTATTACCTGAAATTGAATTTTATGAATGCCCATCCATGTGGTAGGCCCACCATTTGTAAAACAGGACATTGCATTGGCTTTATTAGTCCTGATTCCTGTGACTAATCAATTTGTCTGTTTAAGCTCTGAATATCAGCTACCCAACTTTATCAGGAGTTATTGTGAGCCTATTTGTAATATGTTTACACAGAGGGAAATGCAGAACATTTTCCTTTTCGCTACGATCAGCTTGTCAAAAATTTATGGATACAAATTTGAACCCACTGATCATGACAATGGGGTGAAAATCCTAGACAACAGTTGTGATTGTTCATTCCATATTGTCCATTTTACTTTGACCTGTCCTGTTTTTAGGATATGTTGTTCGTTAACATGACAGTTAATGTTTTTTTTTTTTTTATTGGGCGCCATTTAGGTTGTTTGATCAGAGAAACCTGCATGATGTAAAAAGTGTCTTAGGTTAGGCTATTTCATCGAAGAAACCTGCATGATATAAAAAGTGTCCTTGTCATTAAATTGTCATACCTTTTATCTCCAGCCTGTAGGCTACAGAAAAGGTCACTTGCTCTTTCTACCATATCCTATATCTGCTACACAGGGCCACAACTTTCACTGGGGACAGGGGGGACATGCATTTTAGAAATTGCATTTTTGTCTCCCCCAGTTTTATCATTGGAATGTGATACAAAACGAGGCAATGGTGTGCTTTAGGACCATGCAGAAGCCTCCGAGTGGTCGGGTAGGCTGTTTGGAGTGTTTATCCAACTGGATTTAAAAAAATTAAAAAAATAAAAATATGTCCCCCCCACTTCTAAAACCAAAGTTGCGCCCCTGCTGCTACATGATTTATGTTAGATTCTTTTTTTGACATTGTTGGAGCACCACAGAGATGCCTCTCTCCAACCGTGGAGAGCCTTGCTGGGAATGGACAAGCAAAATATTACTTTGACAAAGTGGGCACCGCTTATCACAGGGCGGCATCAATATTCACCTAAAAAGCCCACATGCCACTGGTTGAGAGAAATTGTCATTGTTTTGGGGTCGAATTATGTGAGGTTTTATGTGTTGAAGGTGCATCTTGGTCAGTGTAGCTCAGAAAATGCCATAGGCGGCCGCCTAATCGTGCCTAATGAGCGGGCCAGCCCTGCCTGTTTGTTTAGTTGTTGTTGATGTTTTGGCCCTTGGGGATATGGAAAAGGAATCCTCTGCCAGGAACCACTTTGTGAATAGGGGATTCACTGTGCAATCTAATTTGTGTGATACCACTACCGTGTTACTGTATGTACACACACACGCGCATGCACATCACATTAATAAAATCAAGGCCTGTATAATACACACAGCCAAAGTTCCTATGACGTGATTGCCAGGGAATGCGGTCTTACTGACGTAGTTGTACCACAGTGCTTTAGAGGGTGATCTGAAAATGTAAGGCCAAAGTGTGGTTTGTTGTGCTGCCTTTGCGGACCCTGAGACCTCACCCACCCACACACGCAGGATGTTGAGAGCATTGCTTCCTCTTAAGTGGATGTGTGTCGACGAAGTGGTCCCCTCGAGTCTAGTTGCTGATCCATTACCGTTGTTGTGTTGGAGCCACAGGAAAGCTGTTGTACTCAGCACGACGCTGCCAGTCTGTGGGGATTCAGTAATAGTAATGATCTGAAACTTCTCCACACCCCTGGATCCCAAACTTATCAATGGGACCCATCTCAAGCTTTTTTGTTGTTGTGACCCACTGAATACAGAAAAGCTAGGGCCCGATTTTAAGGAACAACACAAAAGGGGTCAGATGCGGCCAACCATCTTTGCTCATACTGCATGCACATCAAAAGCATTATTACGCGCCACATACACAACACAGTTTATGTTTTGGCCTCATGGTGGAACGTTATTAATATTTTCTGTGCTTAAATCGGGAGGTGCCGGAACAAAAAGTGAGCGTAAGAGGGGGTTGACCTAGGGAGCTCTGAGGTACCGGAACGCATGAGAAAAAAAAATCACCTCTATAATAAAGCGAAGCATGCATATCGTCGCATTTGCGTAGTCGCATAGAGCAGTAGAGTAGAGGCACTTACAGAAGTTGCACACACGGGGGGGAAATGTAGTAGCCTAGGATCGGGTTAAATGTCATTTTATAAACGCATTTCATACAATTCTACGTCATTTTACATGACTGGAGGCTTTGGCAGAATATTTTTTAATAACGCACAAATGATCGAAATGACAGGCTACTTTGACACTGACGAACTGACAATCTGAGATCAATAAAAATGACCTTGTTTTTAATCCATCAATAGCCTAGGCCTAGGTGTGTGGAGACATATTGGCTACAACATGAGGAGGAAACTATAGTCCTTAAAATGCTTTCCAGTTTCACTGACTCACCCAATGATGAGCAGCTCACTCGCTGGTGATGGCGGATGCGCTCGTGCCAAAAGCCTATCTTGCTCATGTTTTACTTTGTAAAACAATATTTGGAAGTTGATCAAATATTTTGGTAGCCTACAGCAGGCTCATGTCTACCAGAGCAGAGAAAGGGAGAGAGATCATATAAAGTGATTCTTATTCTAGTTCTGCGAGAGACACAGGCGCGCTTCTCACACAGCCACCGCCACGGGTTGGTCTCACACATACCGTAGGTTACAATGTTGCGCAAACCATAAGCCCGGGCCGGCCCAACCCGATTCAACTCTTATAATATCAGGCCCGGGCTGAAAATCTACTTTTTCACATTACGTGTTTTTAGGGGGGGATCTCTTCTATTAAAATGTTTACATTGCAAAAAGTGAAAAATATGTTTTATGCCATGAGGTACCGGATACAGATCCGGCCAAATAGGTTCCAGAACGAAACAGTCTGTGATGAATACTCGGACAGAGTGGTAAGATCCAATCGCAGAATAGCGATGCTTTATTAGAGTACAGACAAGGGAATAGCTTAATCGTGGTCGGGCGGGCTGTGGTCAAAACCGGGCCAGGCATAGACAGGCAGAGGTACCAAAGGAGCGGGCTTAGTCGTAGTCGAGGTCACAGGCACAGGATCAGAGAACGGTAATCACTGGGGTAGACAAGTAGAGGATTAAGCAATTCGGGAAGTCAAACAACAAGGCACAGGTCGGATACACGGGTAATCAAAAACAACAAACTCTCTCTCTCTCTCGGAACAAAACGCTTAGCAAGTCACAAAGGAACAATACCTCGCACCGACTGAACCTCTGAGCACACCTTATATCCTACCCTAATTATGGACAGGTGTGCTCAGAACTCAGGTGAACCAGATCGAGTCTGATGACTCCCCCTCTCTGTAGATCGGGGAAGTGTCAGACTCTGTCTAGACCCAGCCAACCCCCGATCCCTTACAGTATCCCCCTCCCCAGGGCCGGCTCCTGACGGCCTTCTACCTCTACCGGGTGGTCTTCCTCTGGGTCGGGGTCCGGGATGATCTGGGTGTTCAGCGTGGAAAGTGGCCTTGAGAGCGGGGTCTAGTATGTCCTTAGCAGGAACCCAGGACCGTTCCTCCGGTCCATATCCCTCCCAGTCCACGAGATATTCGATGCCCCCTCGTCTCCGTCTAGACTCCAGTATCTCGTGGACTGTATAGGTGGTGTCCTGTTCATCCTCCAAAGGTGGTGTAGTAGGTTGTTGAGCGATTGGTGGATACATCGGGCTATAATGAACAGGTTTCAGCAGGGAGACGTGGAACGTCGGGTTTATCCTGTAGTGTCGAGGGAGTAACAGACGGTAGGTGACAGGGTTAATACGTCTCTGAACTTTGAAAGGACCAATGTACCTGGGTTGGAGCTTCTTGCAGCTCCGTCGGAACCGCAGGTCTCGGGTAGACAGCCACACTCGTTGTCCGGTTTGATAAGTGGGAGTAGGTCTCCGGCGTCGGTCGGCATAGGTCTTTTGCTGCTGTGAGGCTT